AGCTGTGCAGAAAAAGCTCCTCTTTGATGGCTTTTTAAAAATCACCATATTATCAACAGAACTATACCCTTATTAGGGTTAGGGGTATTCACCAGGGTAGGGTTAGGGTTAGAAAACTGAGGTGTTCCAGAATTATTCTGATGGGTGGAACTTTTTTAGAATGGGCTAAATTGATGAGCTGTGCAGAAAAAGCTCCTCTTGGATGGCCTTTTAAAAATACCATATTATCAATAGTATTAAGGGTTAGGGACATGCACTAAGGTAGGGTTAGGGTTAGGGTTAGAAAAACGAGGTGTCCCAAAAAGTTTCTGATGGGTGGAACGTGGTTAGTAAGGGCAGAAAGTATGAGCTGTGCAGAAAAAGCTCTTTTTGGATGGCCTTTTAAAAATCAAATTATTATCGATAGAAGTATACCCTTATTAGGGTTACGGGTATGCACCAGGGTAGGGGTAAGGTTAGAAAAACAAGGTGTCCCAGAATGATTCTGATGGGTGGAACGTGTTTCAAATTGGCATAAAGGATGAGCAGGGCAGAAAATTTCCTTTTGGATGGCCATTTCAAAATCACCTTATTATCAATGGAATTATCCCCTTAGTAGGGCCAGGGGCATGCACCACGGTAGGGTTAGGTTTTGAAAAACGTGCTGTCCCAGAATGATTCTGATGGGTGGAACGTGTTTCGAATGGGCAGAAACGATGAGCTGTGCTGAAAAAGCTGCTCTTGGATGGCCGTTTCAAAATCACCGTATTATCAATGGAATTGTTCTCTTATTAGGGGTAGGGTTATGCACCAGGGTTGGAGTAGGGTTAGAAAAACGTGGTGTCCCAGAATGATTCTGATGGGTGTAACATGTTTTGAATGAGCAGAAATGATGGGTTGTGCAGAAAAAGTTCCTCTCGGATGGCCTTTACAAAATCACCTAATTATCAATGTAGTTGTGTCCTCATTAAGGTTGAGGGGTATGCCCCATGGTAGGGTTAGGGTCAAAAAATTGAGGTGTCCCAGAATGATTCTGATGGATGGAACTTGTTTTGAATAGGAAGACAGAATGAGCTGTGCTGAAAAAGCTACTCTTTTATATCCTTTTCAAAATATTCTCATTATCAATGGAATTGTAGCCTTATTAGGGTTAGGGATATGACCAGGGTAGGTTTAGGGTTCAAAAAACGAGGTTTCCCACAATGACTCTGATGCTTGGAACGTGTTTAGAATGGGCAGAAAGGATGAGCTGTGTAGGAAAAGGTCCTTTTGGATGGCCTTTTCAAAATCACCTTGTTTTCAATGGAAATAAATCCTTTGTAGGGTTAGGGGTATGCACCAGGGTAGCGTTATGGTTAGAGAAACCAGGTTTCCCAGAATGAGTCTGATGGGTGGAATGTGTCTACAATTTGCAGAAAATATGAGTTGTGTATAAAAATGTACTCTAGGAAATCATTTTCATAATTACCTAATTTTCTAAGGAATTTGGTTTAGGGGTATGCACTAGGGTAGGGTTAGGGTTAGATTAACGAGGTATTCCAGAATGATTCTGATGGTTGGAATGTGTTTCGAATGTGTAGAAAGTATGAGCTGTGCAGAAAATGCTCCTCTTGGATGGCCTTTTCAAAATCACCTTGTTTTCAATCGAAATTTACCCTTTTTTGTGTTATTCGTATGCACCAGGGTAGGCTTATGGGAAGATAAATGAGGTGTCCTGGAATGATTCTTATGGTTGGAATGTGTGTATAATGGGCAGAAATGATGTGCTATGTAAAAATAGGTACTCTAGAAATTCCTTTTCAAAATCACCTAATTTTGAATGGGATTATACCCTTTTTAGGGTTAGGGCTGTGCACCAGGGTAGGATTATGTTTATGTTTATAGAATAAGCTTTGTAGAAAAAGCTACTTTGTAAAGGCTTTTTCAAAATCCTCCTATTGTTAATGAAAGTTTTGCCCTATTTTCGGTTTAGGGGTGTGCATCAAGATCGGGTTATGTTTATAAAAATTTGGCATCCTAGAATGATTCTGATGGTTGAAATGTGTTTAGAATGGGCAGAAATTTTGAGCTGCCAGAAAAATCTTGTCAGGGAAGGCCTTTTAAGAATCACCTCTTTTTTCAATGGAACTTTTGCTATGTATTAGGGTTAGTGGTATGCTCCAGTTTAGGGTTCAGGTTAGACAATTTAGATGTTCTGATATGATTCTGATTGTTGGAATTTGTTTAGAATGGGCACATAGGATGAGCCGCGCAGAAAAAGCTTATCAAGGAACTTTTTTGAAAATTGTCCTCTTTTGAATGGGATTTTTGCCGTATATTATGGTTAGGTGTATGCACCAGGGTAGGTTAGAGTTAGAAAAACCAGTTCTCCTTGGATGATTCTCATAATTGGAATGTGTTTAGAACACGCAGAAAAAATGAGCTGTTCATAAAAAGCTACCAAGAAGGCTTTTTCAAGATTGGCCTCATATCAATGGGATTTTACCTTCATTAGGGTTAGGTGTGTGCACCAGAGTAGCGTTCGGGTTAGAATTTTGGTGTTCTGGTATGATTCTGACCATTTGACTGTCTTTAGAATTGTAAGAAATGATGAGCTTTTTAGAAAATGCTACTCAAGGAAGGTTTTTCTCACACTTCTATCTTTTGAATGGAACTTTGTCCCTATATTAGGGTTTGGGGAGTGCACCACGGTTGCG